CTGTTCTGGAAGGCCAATAATTCCTAAGTTGTTCCTCTTCATGTTATCCAGCATGAATCTTAGACTCTCTTCAGATTTTTTTATCCTTTTTGAAGCTTGCTCTTCTATATTAGCAGTATTAAGAGATTTGTCTTTCAGCTCACTAGTTCTGGCTTTCATCTCTTCTTTTCTGCTCCTTTCCCCTTTCAGTGTATTGCCCATTTCTGATATTTTATTATTAATCATCTGGACCTCTTTTTTCAGGTTTTGAATTGTTTCCAATGCTGTATAAATCTTGTTTAATTGCTCTTGTAGCACTTTCCTGACTTTTTCCTTGTTTTCCTCCACTCCTTTTTGGAGAATTTGAATTTGTTTCCATATCATTCTTCTGAATTCTTTCTCAGGCAAATCCAAAACCTGCTCTTCCTCTTCTGGGGAGCCTTTGTCTATCTCCAGCACATTTCTCAGTTACTCTTTTCTGGTTTTGGACATGTTCTGGGATCGTTTGGTGTGTTTGAGATCTTTTGTTTGTCATTTCCAATAGTTATGTGGGTTTTTAATGCTTAAATGGATGTTTGTTGTTGTGTTACTAAGTTTACTGGGTGTCTCCTGGTGATATGATCAGAAGATAGGCTTTCCTTTTCACATGTAATGTTTAGCAGCTGTTATTGGGCTCTTGTCTCAATGGTGAAATATTGTGGGGTATGCTTGTAGCTTGGCTATATGGCCACGATTGCTGACTCTTCTTGGGTAACATAGGGAGAAAAAGCTCCACCCTCCAGGAAGAATGTGTGATCAAAAGGCCCAAAAGCAGAAGCAATATAAAAGCCGAGACAAGAACCTCCACTTTGAAACAAAAAATAAAACTGTGGCGGACTGTCCAGTCACCTTGCTACACAGACAGTGTGTGTGCACCATAGAAGCCTGCTGTAGTGAGTGGGGGTGCCCACTTGCTCAGACCCCTCCTGTAGTCACCACCATAGAGGTGTGCAGATAGATATTGAGAAGTTAATGGGAGAAAGATTGTTTACTATTTTTGTCTCTGAAGGTCAGTTAAGTATCTGCGTGTGCACAGCGTAATTCTTGAAATAGGTGCATATTTTTATGTTGGGGTTTTACAGATTGTTCATATGGTTTGTCTGTCAGGCCAAACCTGCTTTTATTTCTTGCTGGGTAGGCAGGGGTTAATGGTCCCATGCAAGTTAACTTTAGGGCTGGGACCCACAGCCAGAAGTCAAAAGCAGCAGCCATAGAATTTGCCCTTGGACTGATGGGGCTCTTTCTCTCTGTGCCATGGGAAAGCTGTGGTCTCAATGCTGGACTTTTTTTGGGGTGCACACTCACCTGCCTAAAGGCATCTGGGCTGGGCAAAGAAGGCATGACAGGGACGAGGAGATTAAAAAAACGTGTAGAATCCCTCCATACTTCCTTTTACAAATGTCACTGCTGCTTTTAGCCCCAGTTCCCTGTGCAGGTCTGGCTATAGCACTGCCCTCTGACTTCTGCCA